ACCATTTGTATGATGGCCTTTCTTTGATTGATTTTTTTTATAAAAGTAAGTTCTAGAAGAATAAAAAGCAAGAAAATGTTCATTAAAGAAGGCTCATATGATTACAGACTTTGTTTAGTGTTGTTATATTTGCTAAACATTTAAAATGAGATTATTTAAAATTAATACACACATATAACATACGTGTGTAAACTTAACACACATATATATATATGTAAAACAAAGAGTAAAGCTTTTGTGAGTAAACATCATGCTAAATCTGTTGTATAAATAATTGTTGCATTAAGTTCTAGCATTTAATGCCTTTCTGATCTTTTGATACTTCAAGTTAAAATAGAACCAAGAAGTTTTTACAACATTAAATTTAACCAATTTTAACATAATCATGACAGAACAGAGACATAATACCAATGTTATTGAATGTATCACATAGCAATATGTTACAAATCATTTCTTTGAAACAAGCATCTGACTAACACAAAATAACTGATGAGAATCATAGCTGTATTATCCATAAATACCAGTCCAAACCCAGTTTACAATACTAGCTCTTTTGCATGATCCATTAAAATACTATCAAGGTAGCTAACCCATTTCTGATAACTCAAGCATTTTAACATACATGTAGTAAGTGTAAAAATGAAAGAAAACCATCCCTATGTACTATGTAGGGAAATAGAAATCAGAAGGATTCTCAGTGTTTTCACACAATTTGGTCCAAAAACAAAAAAATTATAAATGTTTCGGTTGAAGATTCTTGTCAACCCAAATCTGACATATGGGCCAACCTAATTCCAATCAGTGGTGGTTTATAAATTGAGAATCTCCTCTTTTCATAATTAAGAAATGTAATACCTAATTATGATATCAAGTTTCACTTAATTCTATGTTACCTGTAGATGTTAATGTATAGATGAGGTAATTGGAATTCAACTAACTCATGTTGAATTTGAATTCTACCCCAACCAATTAACAATTGCCACCTAAATTGATACAGACCTACTCCATCTTACGACACCTCTATGTAATTAGAAATGATGTAAACTTAACAAGCACTAGACCTATTTCCAACCAAAAGGATGTCAAAACTAGTCATAAATGGGATGGTGCAGTTGCAAAGATACCCCACCATATTGATTAGAAATGAGAGTGGTCAAGAATGGGTCAACTACCACAAATCTTCAATAGGCACTCATTCTCAAGTTTCAATACAATTTCTCACCATCAAATATTTTTCAAGATGAAGTGAGTTTTTCTTGTGTTTAGTCCACTTTTGAGGAATTATTTCTTGACTTAGTCTTGAGCATCAATATTATTTTATAGATTATTACCCAAATGATTAGTTTAGACATTAGACATTATGTGAAGGGTTTTTTCTTGCCTCATGCCCACCACATTTCTACATAATATCTTCCAAAATAATATTTTTGTTACAAGATTTTCCCTATCTATAATATTAATTTGGTTCTACCCAATGTACCACTCTTAGGCGGACAATAAAAAAGTTAACATAAATAATGTGAGGTTAAGTTATCAGCCAGGAAGGCTTGGGCTAAAGGTGATGGGTTATGATAGCCATGTGTTGGAATCTGGATTGATTTTGGCCACATGCATAAAAGACTCTTCATGTTACTGGTATATTTTGGACCTTCTCTATATTGCTTGATTGTTTCCTCCTAACCCTTCACCTTTACCCCTAATCTGGCTATGGCCAAGGCTCCCTTGGTCTTTTCTCTCTTCAATCCCAAGTTCCAATTTTTGGAAAAAAAAAAGAAAAAGAAAAAAAAAATGTTGAAATTGCCCAAAACCCATTCATGAATGAAGATGAAAAATTTCCATGGCCTTGCTCTAGGGGATGTTTTGCCCAAGCCTGCCCACCCAGGGTTCATAAATGGTATTTGAGACCTGCTAAATTCCTCGAATGGGACGGATATCTACAACTAAAATTCATCCTCTTTTACTATTAATATTGAATAGTTTTTCGGTGACAGTGATTTGTCAAGCTAATGAGAATACACACTACTATTACTAAGTAGAGGTTGCATGGAAATCGAGGAAGGTGAGTCAGCTAGGGAGAATCTATTCAAAATCAGTAGCATTCAGATGATTGACTCACCCAGCATGCCAGCCTACAAAGCACCCTCGTAGACTCTGGTTCACAGCCGTCAAACCATCTTATATTGCACAGAAGGAACCAAACAAAAAACATATACGACATGTCGATGGCGTAGTAAATTCTTAGTGTGAATCTACGATGTGGTACAAAAAGATACGTAGCTAGTTCTACAGCGTCATTTGATCACACTTTTTTTTTCCATAAAAGGAAATACTCGGAAATCAGACCGCTATGTCTACTGGTGAGGTAGTAGGGTACTGCAGACTGGGATGGAGTAAGTGAGAGTATCCGAAGGCCGATTTCAGATGATGCGGTTTTCAATGCTTGACTCCTACGGATTCTGTCTGAAATCCTCGCTCTAGTGCGGTGACTGTTGACAAACCCACCCTGGCGCATCTTCGTGAAATCGGTTCGCGGGACGCAGCTGCCGTTTGTCCGTTACCGATCGTGAACATCAAAAGGATGGTGAGGGTGGAACTAGGAACGTGACATGTCAGCATACTGTTTGTGGTGTAGAATGAGCTCCAGAATTGTCAATTGAAGGTGACAACATCCAGTTGTTGCAATACTCACAACGAGTTGCTTAAAATAAGAGAGGTTTATTATTGAAGTGAATCAATATATATATATATATATATATATATAGAAATTAGCTCTAGTCTACAACTAGTGCGGATCAACTTGACAGACTTCATCTACAGAAAACAGAAAGGGCAAGAGTGGAGGGTGAGGGCAATTGTGGAGAATGACTTCAGCACAAGTTGATAACCCCAACACCCTCTCTTCAACCTGTCTTATTTTATTTTATTTTACTTTATTATTATTTTGAGATGTCTTGCTTCAGAGTGGTGGCGGACGAAGTGATGGAAGGTTTGAATGCATTGGCAGAGGATATGACGTTGGTGAGTGTTGTTGAGCTACATAGAAGTGTCAATTTCTAGATGTTACCAGTAATGGTTTTTTGGTGTTTAATGTGTAGTTCCAAATGTTTCTTCTTGTTGTGTGGATGCTCTTTCTTGTTGGTTGTAAATTGTATAATAAGTTGTTGCAAACTTTGATGTTGTGGCTGACAATTTCATTGACTCACATAAGTGTTATGACCTACTAAGCTTTGATACATTGTGAAGACAATTGCACGTGTTCTAGTTTCTCTTTGAAGTTTTGTCTTTAGATTCATGGGTACTTTTGATAGTTTGTAAGATGTACAATTGAATCTTTCCAATAATCTATCTATGTATTGTTTTTGATGAAAATGTATTTCAATCTTGTCATAATGTAATTCTACTTTTAAATAAATCATAGCATCTTTCAACTTTGTAATATAAAATGTGTTCATCATCTTGTGTTTGAGTTTTGTGATATTATCCAAATCATCTTTCATAATTATGATATCATCTACGTATATGAGAACTATAATATATAATTTGGTTTTTGTAGTGAATAACATGTTTAGATCATCTTTACTTTAATAAAAAGATTATTCTTTCAAAAAGTTGTCTATTCTATTGTTCCAAGCGTAAGATATTTGTTGCAATCTATACAAGGCACAATAGATTTTATAAACTTCTTTCTCGATGCCTTCATCATCAAATCCTTAGAATACACTCATATAAACATCTTTAGTTATTCTTTTATTTAAAAATACTGTTTTAACATCTAAATGTAGTAATTGCTATCCTTTCCTTGTAGTAAGAGCTATGAAAATTTGGATTCTCTATTGGCAAATGACATAGGCAAACATTTCTAAGTAGTCAATGCCTTCCTCTTGCTCAAAACTCTTAACCATTATATAATTTTTTGGTTTTTTAAAATTTACCATCTAAACGTAATTTGACCTTAAAGATCTATTTGGCATAAATCAATGTCTTTTTGCAAGTAAGTTCGCAAATGTTCAAGTTTTCTTTTAACAAATAGAATCTATCTATTTCTTGTTGAATTGTGTCTCTCAATCTTAAATAATGTATTTCTTTTAAATAAGATCAAAGCTTCGTTATGTATTTGATGTTGAATATGAAGCTATTTTTGTATTTGGTATTTAATTGTCTACTTTTGATTGGATATATAGAGTTTTCTCTCGAAGTAAAGTTAAAGGACTTTTTGGGGTTGGATTTCTACATGGTGCGAAGGCCAAAGAAGGTTCAGAGTTGTCAACTATATCTATTATTTTAAAAGAATAAGTTTGTTGTTCAAATATTTCTTATTGATGTATTGTTTTTATATCTTCATCAATGGTGGTAATTGATTCTAGAAAGATATTTGGTTCACTGCGTATTGTAGCTCTAAATTGTACCACATTATGTTTTCTCTTTGATGTTTGCCGTTGTTCACTCACTTGTAGTAAGTAAGTAGCTTCTTTTGTCTATTAACTAGTGATCTGAGAGTAGAGCTCTCTTGCTATTTTATGTAGCTCTGAAATACTCACAACGAGTTGTTTGAAATAAGAGATATTTATTATCAAAGTAAATCAACATATACAAAAAGTTAACTTTGGTCTACTTCTGGTGCGGAACAACTTGACAGACTTCGTCTGCATAAAAGGCGAGAGTGGAGGATGAGGGCGATCGTGGAGAATGAAAGCACTGGTTGAGAACGCCAGTAGGGTGAAAGACAAGGAAATTTATCCTTAGTGTACAACTGGGGCTGCAGATGCCAGAAGTGTAGAGAAGAACAAGTAGGCACCGCAGCTGTTCCCATGGACAAGAATTCCACAGTCGCTGCACTTCTCTAGCTTCAAGTTGCGCAGTCCCAGATTTAGCAAACTAGCCCAAGAATACTGTCCATCCTCTCTCCGAACTCTGCTGTTGACCCTCCGGATCCTCTAGCTACCTACGCTGGTGGACCGCCCTACAGTCTACACATCTAGATCCAGGTGACATCTTGCTCCAGACGTCCGGGCTACCTGATTGTTCACAAACAAGCTCTTCACGGCCCTATCGCCGCTTCATAACCTTCAATCAGGCTCCCTGTAGTGTTGGAGTAACGATCTGCCGTTTGCACACGATGAATTACGAAGAAGTAGGATATCTTTGATAGAGTTCAACGCAGAAGAAAAACAATATTTGATTACCCACTAGTTGCTGGAAGCGGATCTGCTCAGATGCAGCAGACCAGTGATGTTTAGAGAGTTAGTTCGCACAATATCCACGCTTGGCATTTGAGTCAGGTTTTAGGAGGAGTTGACTGTGAGGATCTGATCATTTGAAATATCACCTTGACGCAGCTAGAATCATGTGCAGTAGGAGTTAAATTAGCAATCTATCTGTGGGTTTAGTGGAGTATTATTTAAAAGGTGAGATTGGAGGTTGTGTAAGTTCTTTCGTGGTTGTTGTGTGCCATCTAGCTTCGTTGTGGAGACCGTTATGAGGTGTGTCAGGTTTGGGATCAATTGGGTTCAGGAAACCTAGACTGGTTAGATCGAGAAGAGATAACATGCCACTCTGGGAGGACTTTTCTACGGGTGCATGTTTTCATAAGCTGCAAAGTTTTGTTATATTCTCCACGGTTTACTCTCTGTTTGAGCTGGAAGTTGGGCTTCCTAGTGCTCGATCAGAATGTGCTTCGGACCAGATTCATCTTGGATTCGTGGGCTGTTCAATTTGTTCTGATGAGCGTGCATTTTCAGTGCCTAGTTGCGCAATTATTAGTAGTCTGCGCCGTGTGCTGGAGCAGAGGACTCATTACAATGGAAATGCTGTATTTTGAAACAGGTAGTTCAGCTCACGGAGTACGATATTGAAAACTTTAGCTACTTTTCAAGAAGCTTAGTTGGTCGCGCATCCAGCCTTTCACTGCAAATGAGTCTGACTTTCAGAGCTGATGAATGCAACGAACTTCAGTCCATGGAGAATTGGTGAATATTCTGCCTACCTCTTTTGACGCTTAGAACTACATGCATAGATGTACTTAACAAGCGTGAAAGTGTTAAAGTCGTAAAGAATTTCAGAGCTGATGCCGCAACCCAAAGGTCGAAGTGGTATACTTACGGTTTCTTGAAATTATTTTCTTCAGAGGTGGTTATTTGTTACTGATCCATGTTCATGCTCACTAAACCCTGTGGTTCAAGATTAGGCAATTTTGGCAGAGACTGTCGCTCTCGCCAGTCGGGTGAACTAAATTATGCCGGCGAAAGGTGATTTGGTCGAAACGGAGACAAAATCTTAGATACGTGAGATTGTGTGCACTTCGCAGGTTAAATGCGGGAACAAGCTGGAGCGAGCATCATGGAATTGTGGACGTTGAGACCACCGCAAGCGCGCCGCTGTTCAACCATATTGCTGAAGCATCCAGCACTAGAGGCAGTCCGGAATCCTTGTTCGACGCCTTGAGGAAGGGGAAAGAAGAGATTCCGACGCACACAACATTTCTGAAGCTGGACACTGTGGAGCTGTGCAAGGATAATCCAGATGCTGTGTTCATGAAGGCCGGGAGCTCCAGTATGGTGGGTTCGTCGTCGAACGAGGAAGAGGTTTCAGTGCTCACTAATATACTTCCGTCATTTGGGGTGTCAGTGTCGACCATGGCGGACCGGACTCCAAGTTTGGACGAACCGGTTTTGTGCGTGGATGCGAAAAGTCCTCGGGAACCATTGTCGCCAGGTGCTCTGCAGCTTAGAAAGTCTCCGAGTAGAGCATCCACCAAACGCTCCTTCGTTGACGCATCCGAAGCGTCGTGGATGCCTGTCGCAGATGCCCAGCAGAGTCGGACTCAACATCCCGTAAAGCAGAAGCAACCCAAAAACGGGATGCTTAGCCAGGAGGAAATTCAGTCTCCCCCCGCAGCCATTGCCTACGGTCCCCCATTTGTTGGTATGTCGACTTCAGGCGAGATGGCTACCCTTGCGATCCCGAATCCAACGGCGTTCCTGCCCGGCAGTGCAGCAAATGTCGCTCCACTTCTCTTCTCCACACCGCTGACGCTGCCTAACGTCCCCAGTATGGAAGAGATTGTGCAGTTGCGACCAAAGCGGCGCAACGTGCGAATCTCTAAGGATCCCCAAAGCGTCGCTGCCAGGCACCGACGGGAGCGCATCAGCGACCGGGTCCGCGTACTGCAGCATTTCGTACCGGGAGGCACAAAAATGGACACCGCCTCCATGCTTGATGAAGCCATTCACTACGTCAAATTTCTGCAGCAGCAACTTCAGGTTCGATCACAATCTGAATCCAAGGTTCTCGGATAACAGATTGAGCGTGTTTAAATCAAATCTAAGTTTGTTTATTGGTTGCGGTAGTTATTTCGATCTACGGCGTGATTTTGGTTTTGTTGACAAACTTGTTCGTCTAAACGGGACAAACAAACGAGGCTCTACTTTAAGGTGCAACTCATGCTTTGCGTGTGCAACAGACGCTGGAGCGAATCGGGAACATGAGCGATCCAAGGTTCATGACGCAGCCAGGCGGTCCGATGATTTTGCCGCAAGTGGGAGCGTCCACTTCAATGCGCCCGTTCGACTTAAACTGCGCGGTGTACCAATCGAACCCAGCCACAACAATGACACTACCCCCGTCCCACCAACAACCTCTTCCATGGCCGAACACGAGGGTGTCAAACTCCTTCTGCAGCTCCTTTTTGGACTCTGCCCAAGAGCAGTTTTGCTACTAGGAGCCACTCATCGCATTCATTTGGATCGTTAGAACAAGGTTCTGAAGGCAAGACTCTTGCAGGAGGTGTGTGCATGAGCTCGGATCTGGAAATAACGACCCAAGGTTACTGTTCAAACTAATCGGAGGCCAATTGAGGGAGAATCTTAGTGGGTTCCGCTTGCGCTTGAGCCGATCACCCACGGAGACCATTGTGCATTACCGTTTTGTATCTTTACAAGTGCATCACCAAGAACTTCGGCGGTTCTTCTCGGACTTGTGCCACATCAACTTCAGCACTTGCCTAAACGGGAAAAGAGTGTTAAAAGGCCACGGAGAGCACTGATGCTGAGGTAGTCAATCCCGTCTCTTGCAGGATTGGACCTCGGCAGCAAATTCGTAAGTGCTAACTAGAAATTTTGCTTATGTTCCTTGTACAGTCGATCGATAGATAGGTCGCAAATTATTCAAGCTTTCTGCAAATACATCTAGCTTCAATCGGTTGGAGTATACTGAAAGGGTTGGTTAGATTAGATAAGATTTGTATTTTTTGTTCGTCTTGTTCGAATTCACATGTGTTATATGTCTTGCAGTGACTGCAGAATTTGGAGTGCGGCGTTGAGTCTCGTGTTTAGGTTATATTTGATGCTTGTTATGTTTTCTTCTGCTGATTGTAGGGACGAGAACCGTAACTCTTAGAGGTTCAATACTTGGTGTCGATTAATCCATAGTACCATAATGCAGGATTTCTATTAGCCAAATAGGATGAGGTGGGCTGACCAGCTCCATAGTTCCTGCATTGTAAGGATGCTACGATTCGTGTTCACATAGTTCACCACTAGTCTCCAGCTCTTGATCCTCGTGTTAAATGATGATATTCTAGATCCTTTGTTTGTACCTCGTGTTTGTAGAGGTCGAATTGCTTGCACTGACGGTAGACGACTAGGATGTGCACTGTTGTGAGTGCTAGATTAAGTACATAATTCACACTATCCACAAATCACATTTGTGAAAAAATCAAGAATCCGCACGATGTTTTAGGTGATCTCACGTGATTTTTTTGGTTTTCATTTCTTGAAAAAGCTCACTCACGTTGATTGATTGTCTACCGACAAACATCTAAAGAATAAATAAAATGCTGTACTCTAGATGAACCATTTCTTAAGTCCTGTTCTTGACACGCTTAAAAGTCAAGTTGTTCCTGAAATTGTTTGTTAACGGTAGCCACCGCAACGGCAGGTCGTCGGTGCTTGATATATACGAACTGAGAGGAAAATTGGTCCAAGCTTCTTTCCCTTCCTTGTTCACCATGAATTGATCAGCAGCTTGAGCAGCCTGTTCGGGGGTACCTGAAGAAGCATCCAATTCAGCAAGCAACTATTAAATCAGCATCTGTGGGTACGCCTGAAAGCTATCAGGGAATTGGTGAAAAGACTGGTGGGAATCGAGCTCGTTACTGAAGGTCGTCATTGACGGTTTTAGCTTGCTGGCATTCGCACTGTCGATCGAAACTCGATCATTCACGGTTGAAAAGTAACCCAAGCCTTGTGTCTTCCTTGACCACCGTCTAACACGCATATCATGCTACCGAGTATGAGATACACACCGAAATGTCAGCTCGTGGCTGCCTGAACAATGATTACAGAATTCTTCAAGAGGATTGAATCTGCATAGAAGAATGAAATGAAACATGTTCGAATTCTCACCGGCCAATATTCTTGTAATTCACAGAATTGTCTTTCAATAACCCTCTTCCCCTACTTAACAATACCACATTGAACTGTATTATTGTGATACTGCATCCAGGAAAGCGCAACAACTGAAGATGCAACTGAACAGTATGATATGTAGAACTATGAGATCTCGAGATTTCTCAGTCGAAATTTTCAGACTTGCCTTAGTCTTAACGCGCAGACGAGGTCCACGTGATGCTTTCCCTCCCATCTTTGCAATTCAACTGCATACCTGTCGACCTGCAAACAAAACAATTCAATTAGACTGGTGACTTTAGGATCTTCGGACGAATCCCTAGTGGATTTCCAAAAATCATGTGTTGTACTTCAGTATCATGTGCTAGATTATTGGAAATCAAGTGCAGGATATCAACCGCAAGTGTATAGAGTAGAAGACTTTGACATGATCAATTTGCAGAATTTTTTATAGAAGTTCGATTCTTACTGTAGAGGCCGTGAGGCCAATTAGAGCATTTTGTCCTTCATGCATAAGTGCCAATAGGTTATGTGCATCCTGTGCTTCATCGAAAGTTGGATACTCCCCTGCACATGCGATTAGCAGGATTGTGCCTTCAATTTCAGTGAGACAAGGTAACAAAGCGTCCAATATGTTAAACATACCTTGTTAAAATTCCTGGCCAAAATTCCTGGCCAAACCTGAAAGGAAGGCACCTTGACCATGAACAGAGAATTGAACCGCCATCCCGAGATTCACATGCACATACTAAGCTGTAGGGGACCCAAATTTCAAAATCAGACGAAGTGAAATGTTCTCCAAACAATACAATTAGGTACCTAGAAAGACAGCACTGTCGTCTTCGGTCCAATATGAAGGTCGATAGTAGGCTGTAAATCGTTCTTCTGCTCCGTCGTATCGTCTGATCACTCAAACCATTCCTAAAGCATGTTTAGTTCTTGAAGTGAAGCTCCCGCAATATTCAGTTATTCTCTGATTGTACTCATAAGTATACCATCAGAGTTTGATTATATGCATACAAGTTGTTCCATGCAGCTCAGTTAAATCCTCTGCAAAGAGAGAGGGTATATTACACATACAGAGCGACACCGTTGTGGCCAACGCTTGTCGACTTCCGAGCCCGCTTCCTTCTAGATAGTTCAGATTGGGCCGGAGGCGACGGAGGAGCACCTGCTACATTTGAGAGCAGGGAATCGAGAACTAAACCAGATCCCAGTTCAGTTACAGCTTCAGTTGGAAAGCGGTCATACGCGTGATCACTCCGTTTACCCTTATCCTCTGATTCTAGAAACACTAGTTGGTATTCTGATGCGAAATTCTGATGCACAGCTTGATCTAGTTCTTGTGTTTCGTAATGCACCATGTTTTCTATAATCGGGTGCTCAGCATCTGGGGGAGACAAGGCCTCCTGATGGAATCTCTGTGTTTGAATTACACTATCATTGGCATAGCCATAATCAGTTCCATGTTCTTCGTAAAGTCCGTGATGCGCCATCTGAGTGCCCACTATGAGATATTCGGCTGTGACAATGCCATTTGCCGTTACAAGCTTCATATCCTCACGAAGAGAGAGATTGGAACATGTTTCCAGCTGAATATCATGACCGTCAGCAATAGGTGCAACGACATTGTGGCTGAATGCCGACCTTGTATTTTCAACTACTGGATCTGAATTTTACAAGTTCCTTCTCTGGGTCCCAATTTCCAATCTTTAAAAGGAACGCTTCGCAGCGATTCAAGTTTTCAACACAGCCTTCAAACTTCTGTGCCAAAGCTGAAGGGTCCCATACGACGGGCTCCAAGCTGCTGAGATTCGAAACATCTCGATCCACCAGGTGAAACTGGTGTACAGATTCAGTAACTACAGTTTGGTACGCTTCGTCCAACATGGTATCCATGTCGACGTTCACAAGAAACTGACGCCTCAGAAGAGGCGGTGTCCTTGTACTCCAAATCACGAAGTGAGAACCCAACAGACAGCTGTTCTTGAACATGGAAACACCCTAGAGCTAAAAAAAAGCATGGGACGAATCTCGAATCCTGAATGGATTTGTGAAGCGAACACCCTCTGCTACAAGTCCACAAAATTCCACAGGGCTCATATCTAGCAGTGATTCAGATACATGAACATCGACACATTACGGTTTGATCTCGTTACCTACTAGAGATACATAGCACGAGACAACATGGGGCATGGCAGCCAGATCTGCTTCGCCCACCACCCACTGATCAAACAATCCTGTGACAATCAAAAATTAGTACTAAATCGTTTTGAGAACAAGGAATGCTTGTGAAGCAGGAATGTGGAAGGTGAACGGTGATAAGGATTTGCAAGAGCTTCGTCGTCTTCAGGGCAACGTTTCTGTGCACGATTCTTGCTTGGGAGCGACGACCTTTTCCTGTCACTAACACTTCTCATTGTTGCGCAATTCCTGTGAATTTTTTTGGCTTCATTAAATAAGCTTTACTTCAAGGAATGTGTCGGATAGATTATCAGTCATTCAATGGTATAAAATCGTTACACTTGGATTGGATTTATAGAGGATTAGTGTAACAAGTGGGTAGAAAAAGGTTGTGAAGCTTGTACATTACTTTTACATATAAGAGATATGTTTATATTCATTTAATATTAAAAAAATTTGGTTATATGATTCTCACATGGAATAAATGCAAGACAGAATCAAACAAATTGATATATGTAATGATTTATTAGAAACAAAGAGTTTCTAAAAAAAATTCAATTGAAGAATGTAAGAAATTCCTAACTTCTTTAAAATGTCATGGTCTACATACATGTTATTGAATATTGCACAAGGATTAATAATAATTATTGATTAAAAATAAACTTATAATTTTTATAAAACAAAATTAAAAAATAAAGTCAAATAAAACAAACAATCATGACTTAAAGAAATATCACAATAATTGTTAAACTATCTTTATTAAAAAGATTATCAATAATTAAATTATCTTTATTAAAAAGGTTATTAATAATAGTTAAACTATCTTCATTAAATAGTTAAATTATTGTATAATAGTTAAACTATCTTTATTAAATAGTTAAATTATTGTATAATAAATAAATTATCTTTATTAATTTTTTTAATAAAGATAGAAATATCATAATAATAGATATATGTGGAATGAAACCAACTTTAGAACTTCTTTGACTAGTACTCCTATGTCCATCAATATCTATATTACCAAAAGTACAAAGATATATTTGAATGAAATCTTGTCATTTTAAATGACATAAATGTTTTTACTATATATAATAAAAAATATTTCTTATATTTTTATATATAGAAGAAAAAATATTGGAACAAAATACATCCTTTACATTGATACATGGGTAGTCACCTTGGTAAATGTTTTGTTGATAAACCTCATCAATCATCAACATAATTTTTTTCTAAATGTGAAACTTGATAAATTTTTCCAAATTTTTCTTACTTAGATATTAACTAATTAGATTTTTTGAGTTGACAAAAATCAATCTTCAAACCTAAAAAAAAGAATTATTCAAAATTCATGTAATTAGTGATTAATCTCTTGCTTGGTGTAATAAGCACAATAATATGGAATCTAATCAAAGTCAATTAATTACAAGTATTTTTATATGAAATAAAATATAATAGATATTATTAACTATGAAGATAATATTCTATGTAAACTTTGTCTCTCTTCCTCTCTTTTATACCATCTTTTCTTGAAATGAATTACTTAACATCTTTTAGCTAGAGACTATAAAAAAAATAAGGTTTGTAAACATATGAGTGAGCCAACTTACACAAATCTCCTTTTTGCAAGCTTTAGTGACAAATTTATACATATTATTAGTTAATCAGTGCTAAAGAAGACAATAATGACAACAATTATTTAAAAGAGAGGATAGAAGTTGAGCACATAGGAAGAAATGATGGTTAGAAACATGGAAGGAATAAGGGCTACGAAAAAAGGAAATAGAAATGGGAGGTAGAAAAGGTATAATGATCATTTTAATAGGTGGATTGATTTAGTAAATTCAATAACTTCATTCTAGAAGCGTTAAAGAAGAATTTCACATATTAGAATTTTGAAGTGATCTTTTATTGAACAATAAACTTACTTCCAATCAATTCTATAGTAATTACATGTCATTAATAAGGCCAATCATCCTAAAAACTTCTACCTACTACTTTGCTCTACTTAGTAGTTAATACTAATTCTTTCTTGCATATAATAAAATATTCAATTTTCTAGTCATTATGAACATCTTATATGGTATTAGAATTCCTTGTGAACATACCTCAATTATCTTAGTAATCTAATTTAAGTAGTAATTGCTAATATGATTGAATGTAACTTGATAGCAAATTTG